ACAAAGGTGTGCCACAAGGATTGGTATGGGGCCTCTTGTACATCATATTGTGTTCCTAGAAATGACTCTACTGGCCACTACAATTGCAATCATGTTAATGGAACAAAGGTGTGTCACAAGGAATGGTATGGGGCCAATTGTAATTTATCCTGTTCAWCCRATCAGTCGCTCCACCAGATTTCTTGTAATTCGACGAATAAAATAAAGACCTGTCCAAACTTTGCTGTCATGTGTGGTAATAGCCTGGTTTCTACAACTCCTATGCCAACCTCAAGTTTCATTCCCAAGACAACTTTTTCTGTGTTTACTACARAKTTAATAAACTTGTCAGTATTAATATCTACGTCTACGATAGTAAACACGCGGCCAACAATAAGCAAWGTATCAAGCACTCTTTACGTACAACCAACCATGACAGCGTTAAATAAATCCACTGATATGAATACGACAAAGAGCACGGGGAAGCAAACAAGGCAAAGTGAGGCTTGGAAGTACGTATCAGTCTCATTGGGAATTGTTGCGTTCTTGGTTATCACCAYCGTTACGCTTATCAAGTATATGCGTGCAAGGTGGGATAGCTTTTTTTTTTTTAATATATTATGTTAAATTATTTAAGATTTAATCCCTTGGTGTACATATCATTTTAATTTGACAATTCAAATTGGAAAAAGGAGGATTAGATTAACATAAAAATACAGTAAATGCGTTATTAATTTTAATTAAAAATCAAAGAGCATACATTTCAAAAACAACATTATACTAAAAAATTTTCATACTCCGGCACTAACTTAATTTTGGATTCTGATSGATGTGTTGATTCTCTATTCAGAAAAACTAGGAGTCTTGTGACTTGACGGTGCTGCGCTTAAACATTCTAATTGGATGTTGCGTGGTTTTGCGCGCTGATTGGTTCATGTCAGTTCCTTGTATCAACTGGTGTCACCTGTATGTCCATGTCCATTCTAATTTTCATTGTGATACACTCACATGTATTGAGAATTTGGATCTGCGTAGACTTTACATGGCACATGGATGTAAATAAATTGCGCCCTAAATAAAGTGCTTGTTATGTTGTAGGATAAGAAGACGTATAAGTATGTGTGATCAAGATGAAAAGAAAGAAAAACCACCTCATATTGAAGATCGTTATGCAGTTCCACTGATACAAGTAAGGGGGCAAAGAATGAGTATACAATCAAAAGATGGGTTTACCACTCCACCAGAGACACCTGAATGTTTTCAAATCAAAGATCCATCCACGTGGCTGCTCCCTGAAGATAGCTCCCTAAATCGTGGAATTAATTAATATGAAAATAACAACTATTAATTTTACCATTTTTAATTAATAGTAGTTAGTGCATATGTATGTACTTTTGTCACACAAAAATGTAAAGAATGTGATGACGTCATAAGAAGGTAAAAAACTTGAGAGGGGTGGGAAAGAAAAGCTACGATGTTGGGGAGGATTATGGGTTCAAATCCCATCGAGGTCGCTCTTTTTTAAAGATTGTTTTCCTCCTTACCACCCCCCTTCCAAAGCCAATAACTCCACTTACCACCCCTCCCTAACAACGTAGCTTTCCTTTCCCACCCCTCCCAAAAAATCATCCTATACCATCTTATGACTTCATTACATTCTTTATATTCTTGTGTGATAAAAGTACATACAAATGCGCTATTAATAGTCTGAAAAGGCATACACCTACTTGCAAGAACGTTGTCATACAAAAATAGAACATTATTAATTTATAGTGGGATAGGAATTATATTAAAAAACAAAAGAAGATCACTGAAGCTGAACTTTTTCTTTTGTCTTTTAATGTATTCCTTTCTCACAAAATTACTAATGTCCTAATATCGTATGACAACGTTTTTGCAAGTAGGTGTATGTTCAGGATATTAATTAGTGTATACAACCATTTAGCTCGCTTGTAATGTTTTCACATTTCAGAHCATGGGTCGTTCTCTAGAGTATCATTTCTTTGTTAAATGGTTGTATAATTTAAAATATATGATTAAGGATACAACTCAAACAAAGAATTTTATAACGCGTCGAAATATATAAATATGTACATAAGGATATTTGACGAGGATAAAATTATATCCCATGAAAATATTAGACAAAATACAAACAAAAAAAACTTTGAAAAGGCATGTAACTTAATTCCATTGAGGAATCAAGGCAAAAACGCCTTTAAGGTAAAGTATTTCTAACGAATGGTTGCAACAACCATAATCTGCACCAATATTATTAATATTAYATAATAACATACAATAGATGCAAAAGTAAAATTGTGAGTAAAATGCTTTAGAAACTCTTTTTCTCTCTTTATTTTACTCTATTAAAAAATAATAAAGAAGATGGAATTTTATTGTTGAAGTTTAGTTCGCAAATTATAGCCATGCAGCCCCTTGTAAGTTTTTATTTGAAAGTTATTCTCTTAATCCTTTTGGGTTGCTTTCTTCTGCTCCTCCCAGTTAAATTTCTTAATAGTGATGTAAAGTATAAAATTCTCATTCTGGGGGAAAAAAAACCTAAACGATAGCGCGTGCTTTATCAAAGCACATAGCAAGCATGTTCTTTCCTATTCATCATTCGTATCCAAACGAGATTAAAACTGACTATTTCGATGCATTATTATATGTTAATTTTYGTTTCGTCACATGGTTACGTAACCGAACCAGGAATTCTACTTGTGAGCTCTAATTCTTCATTCGTCAACTGAGATGATGTCTTCGATTTCTATAGAAAAATGGAAAATACTAAGTATTAATGAAGGACATATAGGCCCTTACACCACATCGGAAATGCAGCTCAATTTAGAGGACACMATAGTAGGAGTCCAATTTTCATGTGGTTGGAATTATTTTGTATTGTACTCCAAATTGACCTACTTTGACGTCACATGCATGGGGTCCAGGCATTTYACTTAGTTGTAGTCAAAAGCATCAGGGTTAAGAACATGGGAAGAGACGAGACGGTAAGCTAAAATCTTTTAAAATCAGCCTCTGGCTTTCAGGGAGAACGAGTAATCACTGCCTTTGATTTTTTTTGAGGAATCGATCAGGTACACTGCTATTTCTAAAAAGGTTGGAAAAGGTTTTGCTGCATGATGCATACTAAGTCAAAAACACTATGACCGATGTGTAATCAGTGAAAACTGAGTCACAACAATATAGAATAGATTTTACCAAACGTTCTATGCAGGTTTTCCCGGTGTATTTTCTTATTTGCTGACATTATTTACATATTTATTTTATATATCCCAACCTTGGTAACCCACATGTAACATACACCATGCAGCTAATGCAACAAAACCTTCACTAACTTTTGTTGCAATATTTAATTTAGTTAGTTGCTGACTAAGGTTGTAACTGTCATGAGCAGAGGTTTATAGCGAGATTAACGCTTAGTTCACCTATTGTTATTAGATTTGCCTACCAGAGATATATTGGCTACTGAAACAAAKRTATCTTTTGTTTTAATGGTTGGCAGGAGTTACCATTCATGCCACTTYATCATTAGAGAGTTTCAGCATCTACTTAACAGCATACGTGAAAAGGTAGTTGATAAATAGTAAGAAAGAACAAGAGAAGGTGGTTAGTAAGTGGTAAAGTGAAATATAGGAAAACTAGGAAAACTTGTTTATAATAAAACTTACTTGGAATTCTTGTTTTCTAAGTAGGYGTGTTTTATCGGCGACRGKGATGTCAGGAGAGTCTGGAGGRGTGGAATCGTCGTCTATTAAAGGGTTGACTTTGACTCTTCTGGAGYGAATGCTAGTGCATATAAGATAAATAAAAATCTTATCAGGCGAATACATCTCAACAGTTATATATCTGATGTGAGAAATGCAACATGGTGCCCTCCTAATGAAAGAACATTTTGTTTGTTTGGTTTGTTTATCTGTTTTTATGTAGTTTGATTTTCTGAAAAGAATTGGTATTGTCTTTACATTATTGTCCATATTATAATACGTAAAGGTTTAACGTGACATTACATCCGTTTCATCCAGGGCATTTATTTTACCGATGATAATTCGAAAAACAAATTCAGTTACACTTTCAAATACTCACTTTCTCGATCGATGGCATAATATTCCAAAAACAATAACCATGGCAACGACAGAACACGCACCAACAGCAATAAAAGCCAACGCTCTTGAGTTGTCGCTAGTGCTTTGTGAGTAGTTCTTGAGGAGTCCTGAGCTTGGAATGTCTGTTGTATCTTCTATCCAAACACGAAGTACGTGCACGTCACATGCTTTATCGATATCGCTTACCGCAGAGTTTAAAATTTCTAACAAGACAACAGGTGGTATGATTCCTGAAAAGATGTGCATTACATTTAAGAAATCAGGGATTGAAGGTGCAAAATCTAGACTGTGAATTCTATACGCTCTGACCAGGTGATCTGGAATCTAGACCGGCGTAATGCCTTGTTTGACACAACAAGCATTCCAATAATTTTCCATCAATAAGGACAAAATATGCTATTTCTTAAAGATATTTAATAAATTTATCCAAGGATATATGAGCTTTATTTATTTATTATTTTCAAGTAAAAGCTGTTGCTATGTCACTTAAAACCTGAAACTATAGGAAATAGTGAGGTACGAACAAAATGGGGAGCACGGGTGGCGTAGCGGTGTGAGCGCTCGCCTCTCATCAATGCGACCCAAGCTCGAGTCCCGCCGGGTTCGGTGTTGTATATGAGTAGAGTTGTTTGTTGGTTTTCTCCTGTGCTTCGAGGGTTTTCCGGGTTCTCCGGTTTTCCTCCCTCCACAAAAATCAACTCCTAAATTCCAATAAGATCACGGAATGAGGGCCACAGGTTTGTTAGCCACTGGCTATTAAGTGCTACCCTCGTGAAAAAAGGACAAAAATGTTCGGTGATTGGTTAATTCGTTCGAGAGAAAATGTTGTCGAACAACGTCAAGGGTACGTAGTTAAGAGGCCCAAAATTGAAGAAAATATTCCTTTCACTCTAGGGGTTACACTTTCTTACCTTTACTTACACCAGGTAATTTGGCCATCATCTGGAGCGTCATTTTTGATTGGTCTTCGGCCTGATTGTTTGTTATCTCAGCAACTAATTGTCTTCTTCCAAATAGTACCCTTAAAATAAGAAACATGATCTTATAGGGATAGACCATTAGATATATGAGGAGGAAAAAACATTTTCGAGCAAGCACTTCTTTCAGGAAAAAATAAATAAATATCGTACAAACAAAAAAAATTGAGTGCAGGGGTTGTTACAAAAAATTGAGTGCAACATGAAATCCTGCAATCCCCACGCCCCTCCCTCAAATATCTAATGGTCCTTTCCTTACTAACTATACAATATAACTATAAGTATCAGTCCCTATGTCAAGTTATATTCTGTTACCTGCTAATGTTCTTCCAGCAGTTAGGGATGTTACAGATTTCTCTCTCCCTTTTACAATATTCATTGATTTTAAACAAGATACAAGGTTTTACTCGTGCAATTACATTTTCTCTGCCCTATGATGGGTGAAAGGAAAAAACATGCATTAAAATAAAATAAAAACATATGTTTAACAATTAAACAAAGAAATAAAAAAGTCAATGATAAGCGGTATTGAATATAAAGTTCAATAATAGGTGGAATTCGACATATTAACTTTTTACTCTTTTTATGGCTACTTGCTTGCTTTTCGCGGTGTATTTTGTTTTTTCTTTCAGCTTATTGTTAAAGAAAGATAATTAGAGTTCCCTCAAAGTGAATTAGAATATTAAGAATTTTTTTYATAATTTTAATAGTATTAAGACACTTACATCTGGCTCGAACATCTCAATCTCCATGAATACGGGGGTTAGTTTGAGCGCATCGTCGTCYAATGCCGCAGATCTGCAGTCACTTTCCTTTGATGCGAGAGAAGAAAGAGCTTTATCTGTTGGAGATGGGACCTCTATTTCATTCGTTGTAATTGTCGATGAGACTTTTGCCTTGTCATAAGAATTGCTGAGAGTTGGACCCAAGGGTTGTGTTGTTTTTGTTGATTGAGCAGATGATACGAAACAAGTATGATTGATACTTGTTGAATGCGAAGAATGTACAGTTGCAGTTGGTGACGTTATATTTCTGTCTATAGACAGAGTAAGCCATTCAGGACCATTGTGAGTTGACGATACTAAAGATGTTTGTAATACAGCACCATTGTCAGTGGTTGATACTGGAAATATTGGACCTTTGTAAGAGGTTATTACTGGTAATATGGGACCATTGTCAGTGGTTGATACTGGTAATATGGGACCATTGTCAGAGGTTGATACTGGTAATATGGGACCATTGTCAG